GCGCGCGGGGGCCGCGCCACCCCCGGCCGCGGTGCTGCGCCGGGTCCGGAGAATGGGCCCGCGGCGTCGGGAAACGGCTCCCCCTGCTGGTGACCGCGGCGCCGCGGGCCGGGTCCCGCGGGGGCGGGGGGCGCCGCAGACCCTCACCCCGATCCGTGCCCTGCGGGTCCCCAGGGTCTGACTCGGGGCCTCGAGGACCCCGGCCCCGCCGCCCAGTCCAGCCGAGCCGTCTTGGGGGGTCTGTCACACTCCACCCTCACTCCCACCCCCACGCAGCCTGTCGTGCAGCGGGCAGGGGGCGGGGGTCACTGGAGAGGACGCGCCCCCAGTGAGTCCCTCTTGTCCGCCCGTCTCACTTCGCCCCTGCGCCCCTCCCCCGCGGGCCCTGACGTTCGAAGCACCCTCTCCTGCTGGGAGGGGGACCCGGGCCAGTGCCTGGCAGCGGAACCAGGCCCCTCCTCTGCGGACCCGGCCTTCCTGGCGGCGGCGGCAGGGCCCACGGTGCCGCGCGGAAGGGACAGGGACATTACTGCTGATGCGCCTGGAGGCCCTGGCTTGGCCCCAATCGTGGCTGCAACAGTAAAGCCAACGGGGTTGCCCCCTCTGGCCTTGGGGAAAAGCGTGACTTTCCAAAACTGAGCCTCTGCTTTTTAAGCGCTGTCCCCTTTCTAACAGCTTTCAACGATAGGGAGGGTGGGTGCATGGTTATTTGCCAAGAGCCATCAGAGGGCGGTCACATCTCCCCCGCGGCCCAGTGGGAGTGGGCACGGGGTCTGTGGAACTCTGTCATCCCCCTGCCCACCCCAGGCTACCTGAGTCTGCTGGCCACCTGCCCCCACCATTATGACTCTTACCTGGGCTGCCAGGCCCACCCCTAGAGTTCATCCCAGCCAGCTCTGACAGGCAGGACAAACCCCTGCCCGGAAACTGCTATGATGCCCCCGTGCCCCCAAACCAAGTCCTGACACCTCAGCTGCCCTCAGCAACTCGTACCCTGCCCTGCAGGAAGGACCCCCCTCCCCCAGTGATAGTGGGAGGCGGGCATGGGACCGCTCTCCCCATGGCGGGGCTTGGTGAGCATGCCGGGCTCAGTAACTGTTCACAGGACCACTGTCAGCTGGAGGAGGGGCCTCAGACCCCAGTGGTGTCTTTGAGGAAACAGAGTCCCAGATAAGGGGACGGCTTTGCCCCAGGCCTCACCCTCACCTGTCTTCTGCCCTTTCCCGCTGGGGGCCCTGCAGGGCTGGGGCACCCCACCTGGGGGGGACCTGACCCTTTGGGAAGCACCCATGAGAGGCCCGAATGGGGCCCCAGGAGCATGGGGGGCACTTGCCAGATCCCTGGACCCCCGTCTACATGCTGGACAAAAACTAGCTTCACAGACACCTCGCCTCCCCCTCCCCCCCTCTGCAGGTCCCTCAACATCGTCACAGACCATTAATTCTGGGCAAGGGTTTCTCACATTCCCAGGAAGCCTCACCCACCTCCCTGGCTCCCACCCCACAGCCAGGACAGGGCTGGAGATCAGCTCCAATGGCATGCTGGGGGACTGCGCCATTACCTGCCCCCCCAGGTAATGTGGGGGACCCAGTGGGGCCCCTGTCTGGGGAGCTCTGGAGGCCATTTGCACACACATTCCAGACTCGAAGCACCCGCCTCCAAAATGCAGCCCCCTCCCTGTGGTCTCAAAGAATGTGCACAGCCCATGCTGGCTCCTGCCTGGTGAGCAGCTGCTGATGTGCCGGACACCTGCACCCCCGGCAGAGACCCCCAGCTGCCCTTGGGGCGGGCTCCACGTTGGCAGATGAGGACAATAAGTTCAGAGGGCACCACTGGGCAAGCTCCCGGCTAGGCTGGGTTCCTGCTCTGCCCACTAACACCCCGTTTGCAGACCAAGTGGGGTGCAAGTTGGCCCCTGCCCTGCCGTGAAACCAGCACAGAGAGGGAGACAGTCCTGACACTCTCCTTGACCCAACGTCCCCGAGTTGGCTTTCCTGGACCTCAGGTGCTCTTGGGGCTCTGGCCCAGACTGAGCCCAGCAGGGTCCAGGTGCCTCCTGCCACAAGATCCCTCCCGTGGACCCCGGCCCTGCTGTCAGTGGCTGGTGAGGGGCCAGCCTGGCTCATAGAGGTGGGCTGGAGGGAGGGGAGGGCCGGCACTGCCCGAGCAGGCTCTCTGCTGCACAGCGGCTCACTGAGCAGACATGGGCCAGACTTCACCAGAGGCTGAGTTGAAGGGGGTCTGCAGGGGAACTCACAGGGTCCTGCTTTATGCCCAGGCCACCTAGAGGAGAAGGCCGTCCCACCTGGAGACCATGTGGGGCTCCCAGGAGCTACTTCTGGTGTGGTTTCTGGTGCTGGCAGTGGGTGGCACCGAACACCACCTCTACCGGCCCAGGTGAGCCAGGGCTTGGGCCTCTGGTGCTGGGGTGGCAGGGGTGGGGGCCAGAAGCCCTCAGACCCTTCCCAAGGCAGCCCCCAATACTTGAGGGGGATTCCCTGTGGGCTCCTGCTGAGGGTCCTGCCCAACAGCAACTCTAGGAAGCCCCTTCCCCATGTTCTCGGCTCCCATAGGTTCCAGGGCTGGAAGGGTCCTGACTCTGGGACCCCATGTCTGACCCCTGGCCCGCCCTGCCCCCCATAGCCGCAGGGTGTGTGCCTTCGGGGGAGCCAGGGGCCCTGTCCCCGAGTCCTTTGTGCAGCGGGTGTACCAGCCCTTCCTAACCACCTGTGATGGGCACCGGGCCTGCAGCACATACCGGTGAGTGCCCCACCCACCGCCAAGCCTACCCAACCCCTGCCCCCCGCCCCGGGCCGACTCCCCCATCTGCCACACCCCAGCCTGCTTGTTGGTAGTGAACCCTGGGGACCCCGCAGGCGCCTCACCCCAAGATGGGAAAACGAGGCCAGAGCCAGATGACGTCTCCAGGTGGCCTGTCTGCACCACAGCAGTCTGAGTCCAAGGGTGTTATGTAATCACCGCCAACACTAATCCATCCACATTCTCACCCCCTGATACGTTTGAAAGGACAGCGTGTCCAAGGGCATCCCCCATGCTCAGAGGGTCGCCCATCCTGTCCCACCCCTCCCCCAGCATTGCCGGCTCACATTCTCATCTGCTTGGGAAGGTGCCACCTCCCTGTGCCTGCGTCAGTCATCCTGGTCCTCTCCCCATGATGGCCCTGACAGGCACAGACAGAGACCCTCGGATGTCCTGCTGGCCTAGCGTGCCAGCGTGAGGGGCACATGTCCGCCATTCTCAGCCATGGGGTGTGCAGGAGAGGGGCCAGAGGAATCCAGACTTCAGAGGCTCCTGAACTCAGAAAGTCCATGAAGAGCTGGTCTAAGAGAACACCTTTAGCTTTCAGGTGCCCAGAGTCCAGGGGAGGACGGAGGAGCAGGGGTGACCAAGGCAAATGGCCCCCACCCCTGGGCCTAGATGCCCCTATAACAGGAGGCTCCACAGGTCACGGTGGCACACACAGGCTGGGCCCTACCTCTGCTCCATGCCAGGCACAGCCGGGGCTTCCTGCCACACTTCAGGGCCCCACCTAACACCAAAGCGCCCGGCAGGGAGGCAGCTTGCCCAGTGACCCGCGTTGTTGTGCTTGGGGGTGAGGACCTCTGGGCACATACTGGAGGGACCTTTCCACTCTGGGAGAAGTGGCTCCAGGTGCCCAGAGCTGGCAGACAGGGAGATCAGGGTGCAGGAGGTCCAGCCTGGGCCCAGGGAGACCTGGAGGTATCCACTGAGGCCCCCCCATAAATCGGGCCTCTCTGGGCTGCCCCACCCACCCCACAGAACCATCTATAGGACCGCCTACCGACGTAGCCCTGGGCCAGCCCCTGCCAGGCCTCACTATGCCTGCTGCCCCGGCTGGAAGAGGACCCCCGGGCTCCCCGGAGCCTGCGGAGCAGGTGAGGGCAGCAGACCTCCCAGCTCCCAGCGTTAGTTACAATGGCAACCCATCCCCAGACCTCTAGCATAGCACCTCCTCATACAGACCACCCCCTTTCCTGGCTGCCCTCCTGAATTGGTGACAGGCCTCCTCCACCCACAGCAATATGCCAGCCGCCATGCCGGAACGGAGGGAGCTGTGTCCAGCCAGGCCGCTGCCACTGCCCTGCAGGGTGGCAGGGTGACACCTGCCAGACAGGTGAGCCTGGCTCTGCCCTCCCAGGAAGGGGCCTCTGAGCACCTCCCTGCATGTCCTGAGGTCACTGCTGGCCAGTGTGGGTGGCCCACTCATGGGTGGGTCTTCAGGGGATTCAGTGTGGGTGGGTCCCCACCTTCTGCAGGCACTGCCCTGGCTGACACCCCCATTTCCTGCAGATGTGGATGAATGCAGTTCAGGAGGGGGTGGCTGTCCCCAGCGCTGTGTGAACACCGCAGGCAGTTACTGGTGCCAGTGTTGGGAGGGGCACAGCCCATCTGCGGATAGGACACTCTGCTTGCCCAGAGGAGGGCCCCCCAGGGTGGCCCCAACCCCCACGATAGGTAAACTTCCCCCCCCTCCGGCTGCTGTGTCTGGCCTGGGGAGATGGGTGGGTAGCGGGCATCACCTTGTGACTCTGTGCTAGGCATGGAGGGGCATCAAGCTGAAAATGCTGGCGGGCCAGCTCTACTCCAGGTAGAAGGTGGGGGTGGGGGGCTCTTCCCCAAGGAGTTTCTTGACGACGCTGTGGGAAGGGTTGCCCAGAGGGCTTCATCTCCACATCCCAGCAGCCTGGAGACTCTGCACCTTTGCTGGTGACGGGTCATTATTACTTTTGGTACGCGCTGTGACACTTCAAACTCGTACCGTGAGTAATAATGCGCCGTCGGCAGCCCTGCACCAGGAGCGCAGCATGGACATCCGCGAGGATCAGCGGGCCAGCCCTGGCACCGAAGGGTGGGCAGGGGTGGCGTGGAGTTGGTCCAGAGCCACATGCCCCAAGACCTCCAGGCCAGCCCCTGGTGGACAGCGGGTTGTCCAGACCTGAGCCTGAGCCTCCTGGGCTTTGCCCCCTGGGCTGGAGCAGTGGCCGGAGGCCTCCCCCTTGGGAGAAGAGGCCAGCCTCGGGGAGTGGGGTGGGGAGCCGCCCGCCCTGACCCAGTGCCTGGATCTGCCCCCAGGAGTGGACAGTGCAGTGAAGGAGGAAGTGCAGAGGCTGCGGTCAAGGGTAGATGTGCTGGAGCAGGTGAGGCCTGGGCGGGGCCCACAGCCTCCTGAGGTCTCCTGGGATGTGGTTCCCACCCACAGGATGGTTGTGGGGTTTCTGTGGGGGTGGTCCCAGGGGAGGGGGCTTCCTTGCTACTGACAGCCCAGGGGGCCCTTGGCCTGGACTCCATGCCGGGCAAGGGTAGCCAGACATTGACTGGGACACGCCAGGACAAGAGCCAGGCTTGGCCTCCCTCAGGGCCCACCCCCACACCTCTGTCCACACCGGGACAAAGTGCTCTTGCCTTTCTCCCACCTAAACCACTGGCTCAGAGACCCCCTCAGAGGCTCCAGTCCACCCCCCCCCCCGGTCCTCTGCTGGAGACCCCAAGGCCTGGGGACTCCCTGGCCAGGCCCACCTGCACCCTCCAGCCTCAGGGCTGGGGCTCGGCAGCTCCCTCTAGTGGACCTCCAGAGCCCTGCAGCTCAAGCTGGGTCTGGGGCTTTGCAGACCACCCTGGCCATTCTTTAAGCAACTCTCCTTAAATTCTTGGGGAACAGAGGGGTAGGGGCTGACCCAGGGTCACACAGGCCCTTCCCCACAGAAGCTGCAGCTGGTGCTGGCTCCGCTGCACAGCCTGGCCTCACGGGCCCTGGAGCACGGGCTCCCCGACCCGGGCAGCCTCCTGGCCCACTCCTTCCAGCAGCTGGACCGCATCGACTCTCTAAGTGAGCAGATCTCCTTCCTGGAGGAGCAGCTAGGGTCCTGTGAGTGCCCACCCCACCCACAAGCTCTCCTCTGCTGGGGAGCCCAAGATCCCATCCCCCTGTCCAGGTCTGGGGCCCGTCTGTGCTACGCGGGGCTGCCACAGGCCAGGGGCAGATCTGGTTGGGATGGAAGGCTGTGGGGAGCATGATCTCTGACCTTAGTCCCCTTCTCCACCCCTAGGCTCCTGCAAGAAGGAGCTGTGATTGGCCCAGCCCAGGACCCCTCACCCCAGGCTGGACTGAGCCTGCACCCCACCCCTCCCCACTCTGCCCTGCAGCCCTCCCTGACATGCTAGAGCCCAGATGCCACTCCTGGCGGTGACTGAGCAGGAGGCCAGAAGGGCTCTTACTCAAGACTCCTGGGACTCAGGTGGTGGGAGGGTTGGGGACCTCTGCGTGAATCCACCCCTGGCAACCCCTGGAGAGCTTTCCAGGGCCTGGTGCTCATGGCCGAGGGAAGGTACGAGGGCTCCCACACAGAGCCCAGGACCAGTGGTCCTCACTGGGCAGTCTGCCGGGAGAAGGGGTGGGGGCCTGTCCCCGGATCTTTGTCAGAATAAAATGAGACTTGAGCTTTTGTGTCAATGGATGGACTGGGGGAGCTAGGAACAGGCGTCTCTGCTCAGCACAGGGGGACAGTGCCCAAACCTTCTGGCTTTAGGAGAAGGGGTGGGGGCCTGTCCCCGGATCTTTGTCAGAATAAAATGAGACTTGAGCTTTTGTGTCAATGGATGGACTGCGGGAGCTAGGAACAGGCGTCTCTGCTCAGCACAGGGGGACAGTGCCCAAACCTTCTGGCTTTCCCACCAGACACACTGCCACCTGCTGGCTGGTGGGTGGGGCGGGGGAAGCAGGGAGTGGGGCTCCCGGTGCACCATGGGCCTGGGTGCCCCATTTCCAAAAGGAGTTCCGCGAGGCCTCAGAGACAGCTTTCTCCCGTGACAAGTTGGCTCCACCCCCAGCCAGAGGCCAAAGAGCAGATCTTCAGCCTCCTAGTGCTGTGCCCACAGGGGCCTTGGGCATGCCCAGTCCCCTTGATTAGGTGGACACCCCCCCACACACTGAGTATTATAGGGTGAGCATAGACCTGCCCCTGGAAGGTAATACTGGTGGGGGTCCCCTGGGGAGGGTGGGGCACAGGCTGCCTAGAAGTCTGCCACGCGCTGTCAGGCTCCTCCACCCTTGGCACCCTGCATCCCTGGCTAGAGGCCTGAGGTAGCCCCTGCCCACCTTCTGTGAGTGACCACAGCTCACCAGGCACCTCCAAGAGTTTGTTTATAAAAAATAACAGCCGAGTGCAGCACTAACTCCGCAGACGGTCCTCAGGGCGGTGGGAGTGGCAGACCCCACTTTCTGGCTCCCTGTGGTCCAGGCTTCGTGAGGCTGGGGGTCCTGGCACTCTCTTCCTGGTGCCCTCTCCTCTCCCTGAGAGCCGATGCAGGCGTGACCCAGACCCGAGCCTGACTCTGCACCACAGCAGGCCCTCAGCAGCCAGACCGGGGAGCACAGCCAGGGCAGGCGCGTGGGCCTCAGCCCCTGGCCTGTCCCAAGGCTCTTTGGCTCAGCCCACTGCGGACCACGGTCTGTTCTTCCATCACCCCAGACACTGGAGGGACGACGGTGGGCAAGCCCCTGTGCTCCGAGCCTGGGGCAGGTCCAGGGGCATTAGGGGTCTGGATCTGAGAGTGGTGACATTAGGGGCTTCCTGCATCCAGGGCCTAAATGCAAGCCAGGGGAGCCGGGCAGCTGGGCACAGTGATATTGGGCAGCCGGGGTGGCAGGGGGTGTCCCTGTGTTCATTCTCTAGCCTTCTGCCTCCTGCCTGCTCTCACCCGGGTCCTGCCCCTCACCCCCATGGCCTGGGCTACTGGACTGGCTGGACACCAGGCCCCGTGGTGGCCCCGTTCTCCTGGGGCATCTTGGATATGCGGAAGAAGGTGCTCCTCATGGCCTGGTGGCAGGTGTCCATGAGCTTGGGCACGTCAGCCACAGTGAGGCCGCCGGTGGGGATGGCATCCAGCACCTGCACCCTGATTGTCCCTGTGAGGGGGAAGGTGTCAGCACTGGGAGGGTGCACCGTGCCCACTGCCCTCTCCTTGCCCCAGGCCACCCACGGCCCCTTCCCTGGAAGCCTTCTGAGGCCCATCCTGGACTGGGCTCTTCCCCCGGACACCCTGGCCTTGGTGGGCTACTTATTTACTTTGGCAGCTGGCTAATATGGGGGATCTGGGCAATCTGAACCTTTGACCTTGGTGTTCTAACACTGTGCTCTAACCAACCGAGCTAAGGGGCCAGCCCCTGGTGGGTTCATTTTTAATGGAGATCATATTGACTCAAAACACCCGGCTCCTGAGTATGTGCTCAGTGGGCTTGGACAACTCTGTATGTCCCTGTAGCCACCACCCATGACACAGGGTATTTCCACTCCTAGAAAGTTCCCTTGGCCCCCTTCCCGATCAGCCCCCACCCCACTGTTGGACTTCTATCCCCCATGGTAGTTTAGGTGCCTGTGAGGACTCACCCTCTGACCCCACCTTTCCACCTGGCACCAGGTGCCCACGTGCAGGGTCAGGGCAGAGGCCCCAGGCTCTGTGGCCATTGGGTGCTGGGCTACCCAGGTGTGAAGTCGGGCCTGGACGTGCAGGCTGAGAAGCCCACCCTCCAGCGCAGAAAGAGGCTGCCTCAGGTCCCCTGAGCTGGGTGCACAGCCTGGGCCCACCCATGTGAACTTGGGCACCCAACCCACCTTCATAGAGCCTACGTTTCCTCATCTGAAAAATGGGCCCACCACCACCCACCTCACAGGGCCGCTGGGAAGAACTGAGGATATGAAGCAAGGCCAGGACTCGAGACTGACTGATCATTCACTAGTTCTCCCACCGAACGGCCACCGTGTGGCACAGGAGGGCTCACGGGAACACCTGAGATGACAGCTACCCTGGCCCAGTCCCGTGCACCGAGTGCGCACATGGGGCGTACCTGAGGTGAAGAGCTTCGTCTTGCAGTTGTAGAAGGAGGAGAGAGAAGAGTACACCACGGGGATGATGGGCACCTGCGGACGGGGAGATGCAGGTGGCCGGGCCCACTCTCACCCCAGGACGAGCTCGCGGGGGAGCCTGGCCACGCTGCCCCCTGCTCCCACCTGGGCTGGTTGCAGGAATCCTTGTGGCTGTCCCCCTCAGGGCCTTCCACACCCTGACCCCTCAGCCTGGGACACCTGTCAGGCCCCGGAGTGGCCCGGAGTTCCATAAACTCATCCTGCACAGCTTCACTCACCTCCTCCAGGAAGCCTTCCAGGGCTACTATATGTGTTTGTCTGATTGACATCTGTCCTTGTCCCTACCCCCACTGGCCCATAAATTTAGCCAGGGGGCAAGGCCCCGCCCAGTTTAGCTGGAAGAGGTTACCAAGGTCTTCCCAGCCCACCCCTCTCTTCCCATCCTCACCCCCAAGTAGGGGCAGCTCTAGCCAGGGGAGGGGGCAGAGCCCACTGGTGCTCCTGGAAGACACCAGGGTCAAATCCAAGTGTGACAAGTGGCACCTGGGGATAATCATTAACCTGAGGAGGTCAGGGAACCCTGGGGTCACCAGCAGGCCTGGGGGGAGGGGTGGGGAGCGGGGTGGTGGTGGCAGGAAAGGACGCCCAGCTTCCTGGCTGAGGTTGCCACTGCCCCCACCCCATCACAACCACCTGTCTCCTCTTTCCCAGACCCAACTACAGCCCCCTCCCCCACTGCCGCCCACAGGCCAAGGGGAAGTGACATCAGCCTCTAGCCTGCGCGTGTGCCCCTCACCCCATGGCTAGAGGGCCACAGGCCCAGGGAACAGGGGCTCGTTGTGGGCAGAGCTGGGATCAAAGCCTACAACATCTGCCCTGGCTGGGGCCCCCCACCCCCATGGCATTAGCGGGGAGTCTTGGGAGGAGAGCACACCTGCCTGGCACACGGCCGGGCACCAGGGGCAACAGAGGCACCCATCAGAGCTGAGACCCCTGCCCTGCCGCAACCCCAGTCGGGCAGGATGAAAGCCTTTCCCCTGAGCCCCGACAAGGGCATTCCCCTGACAGGAGTCTCCCAGCACAGTAGCAGGGGTGGGACGGGATGCCGTTCGCCCACTGGGAGACACATCCTCGGCCCACCTGGTGCCACCCCTTCACCCAGACTGCCCTGCCCCCCGGGACACTGAGGACCAGAAAAGTCCCAAGTCCAAAGACGAGCTCACAGTTCGCTCTCCCCAAGCCACACTTTGGCCCGACCCGCCACCCACTCCCCAACACCCCCAACAGGGTGCTGCAGCACTTAATGAGCATTAGCACCAGCAAACAGCCGGCCGCTAGGTGGGGATGCTGGCACCGGGCACTCAGGTGCCTGCCAAGTGCAGCTGGCCACTCGAGCCTGACTGGGTGCCAGTCCTAACCACTCAGGGTGGGTGAAGGGCCCAGGGGCTGCCCTCCCGAGCAGGTCAGGAGCCAGGTGCTGGAGGGAGCAGTGAGGCCCTGTTCCTCACCCAGTGGGAGGAGGTCCCTGAGTGGCAGTGGTCCCCAGCTGGCGAGGCAGTCACCTGGACCGCTCCCCGCCCCCTGCCCACCCTGGGCAGGCAAGGCCCTGGCCTACCTGGGTCTGGATGGCCAGATAGAAGGCGCCTTTCTTAAAAGGCAGCAGGTCCCCGTTGTCATTACGTGTGCCCTCGGGATAGATCCACACTTTGAGCTGCAGGGGAGAGGAGCTGGCTGCCGCCTGGGCATCCCCCACGGCCTGGGGCCGCCCCAGGGAGGTCACACACCCCGGGAAGCCCACCTCTCAGCAGATACCCCCCAACAGCCTGGAGCACCCCCCCTGACTTCTGTGGGCAATCTGCAGCAGACGCACCAATGAAGAGTGTTTCTGCCAAAACAGAGGCCCTGCGCCCAGTGCCCGGCCTGGTAACTCACATTCTCCCGCACCATCCGCTCGCCCAGGTTGGCCATGACGGTCACGGCGGTGCTGGAGCGCTGCCGGTTGATGAAGAAGACGCCCCCCAGGTACATGATGAGGCCCACGGGCCCCGTGAAGAGCAGCTCCCGCTTGGCGATCTGCACACAGCGCTTGGGGAGGATCTCCATGAGGCCTGCGCGGATGCCAGAGACAGAGACAGAGATGGACACAGGGACAGAGAGAGAACAGAGACACACAGAGATAGAGACGGAGACAGATGGAGATGGAGACAGAGACAGACGGAGACAGATGGAGACGAACAGAGACAGAGAAAGAGAGACAAAGAACACAGAGAGACAGAACTGGAGACAGACAGACAACAGAGACAGAGACACAGAAACAGAGATAGACAGAGAATAGAGACAGAGAGACAACAGAGACAGAGACACAGAGAGAGACAGACAGAGATAGAGAGACAGACAGAGATAGGAAAACAGTACTGACAGCCTCAAAGCCCAGCCGGGCCCCTCCCCGAGGAGGAGGGAGTCGGGCCCTGTGCCTCGACTGACCTCTAGCAGGTCTGGGGGAGTCCTGCCCTCCTGCTGGCTACCTGGGCAAGTCGCTGGGCCCCTGGGGCACTGCTGGACAGGCTCCAGCCATGACGGTGTGCGAGCCCCGCGCCCAGCACCAGGCAGGGTGGCTTCCTCGCCTTCATTACCCAGCTCTAGGTGGGCTGGAGGGACGCACAGGCCCCCTGCCCCCAGCTCATCTGGATCAGCTTCAACCTCCCTGCAGCCATCCCACCTCCCCCACCCTCCCCGGGGCTGCGCGGGGGGCACGGCCTACCCATCATGTCCAGGATGCTCTGGTGGTTGGAGATGATGACACAGGGCTTGTCCACCTCCAGCTTCGGCCGGCCCTGCACCTCGAAGCGGAGGCCGTAGATGTACTTGAAGGTTCGCATGAACCAGCTGATGATGCTAAGGTGGGAAGGCGGCAGTGAGCAGAGGTGTGGGGGGTGGGTGAAGGAGACCCCAGCATGGGCAGAAACCCCGGGGCCCAGCTCCCCAACCCAGCTGACACGGACATGAGCAGGACCCTGGAGGCAGGTCGCCTGGCGTGGAGGACGCCTTCCACTTCCCAGGGCTGCCTGGCCCTCCCCCCACAGCCCTGCTTGCTGGGCCCTCCCAGAGGGGGATGTCTGCGAGCCATGTGGGGGCCCAGCTGGAAGGGGGCGGGGTGGTTCTCACTTGTGTCAGCGATGAAGGGCTCAACACAGGGCCAGAGAGGTCCCTGCACCCCTGCAGAGGAGGCCGGCCCCCCCCACGCCCTGGGGGAGGATACCCGGCTGAGGAAGTGACCATCCCCTCAAGACAAGCCACATCAGGAAGAAAGTGCCAAAGCCAAGTGAGACCTTTGCAAGGAGCTGAAGTTTGTTTCTGGAATGCTGGGAAAAGTCACTGTAGCCGAGACCCGCCCTGGCCGGACACACTGGAGGTCGCTTTTACCCTCACCCTGTCCTACAGACTGTCCCAGACTTTTCTCACAAGAAGAAGTGGACCAAGAAAGGTTAAGTGACTCACTCCAGGTCACACCAGAGCACAGAGCTGAGCGAGGCTGTGAGCGGGTCCTGGTGGGGGGCCTGGAAGCCACAGCGCCTCCACCCTGCAGCAGGGGTGGCCAGCCCCACTGGGGGCTGCCCTGGAGCACCCACAAACTCAGGTGGCCTCCTCCCTGCAGCACTTAATGGCTGGGACCAGGCACGTCTGAGGGGCCTGCACCAGCCCTAATCGTCCAGGGGATCACGTCCACGGGCGCTGGCTGGGTCAGGGGAGCACAGAGAGAGGGTGGCCTCACCCTCCGGTCTGCCTGGGAAGCTTTGGGCACATCTGGGGCAGGACAGCTGCCCATTAGGGGGTTGGCTTGCATGACGACGGGGCCCCAAGGTGTGAGTTCACTCTGAGACTCCCAGCAGGGCCCCTGGGTCCTTCCCATCACATGCAGGTGGCAGGAGGCAGGGCGACATACTGGCCCATGGACCGAGGGCTCCTGACCCCAGAACTCCTCCACTCGCCATACAGATTAGTGCCCCCCAATCATCTGATCCCCTCAATAGTCCAGAGGGAAAGGGAGGGATACCCTTTATACAGATGAGGTTAAGTAACTACCCAGTGTCCCAGAGCCAGCTCTAAATGGCAGAGCAGAAGGGCCGGCCCATGGCTCACTTGGGAGAGCGTGGTGCTGACAACACCAAGTCAAGGGATAAGATCCCCTTACTGGTCATCTTTTTAAAAAAATAATAAATAAATAAATAAATGGCAGAGCAGAGATTCAGAGCTGGGTCTTTCACTCAACGCCAGACTTATTTTTAAGTTGTGGTAAAGTACACAGAACACACAATTTACATCTTTGAATGTCTGTCCTCTCCAACGCTCACGTCAGAAGTTAATCCCCAGGGCCGGCCCGGTGGCACACTGGAGAGTGCGCCGCTTGGGAGGGTGGCAGCGCTCCCGCCGAGGGTTCGGATCCCATGTGGAGACCGGTTCCCGCTCACTGGCTGAGCGCGGTGTGGGCGCAACACCGATGGTTGCGATCCCATTGCCGGTCAGTAAAAAAGACAAAAAGGAAAGAAAAAAAAAAAAAGAAGTTAATCCCCAGTATGGCATTTGAAAGATGGGGCTTTTCGGAGGTGACTGGATCACGAGGGCTTGGCCCTTGTGAATGGATTAACCCACTCAATGGTTTAGCAGTTATCAGAGTAGACCGGGGACTGCGTAAGGACAGGAAGGAGCACATGGACTCGCCCTCGCCAGGTGACCGACTGCACGCAGCCCCCACCAAGGAGGCCCTCACCAGACGCGACCCCTCAACTTTGGACTTCCCGGCCTCCAAAACTATAAGAGATAACATTCATTTCTTTATGAACTACCCAGTTTCCGGTGGTCTGTTGAAAGCAACAGGAAATGGACTAGCGTGCGAGAGCCCTGCGCAGCAGCATTAAGTGCAGTAATGTGGTGTGCAGCCCCCGCCCCCATCCGTCTCCGGAACCTTTCCGTCTTCCCAAACTGAAACTCTGCTCCCACCAAAGGCCAGCTCCCCTCCCCTCGCGCAGCCCCAGCACCTCCACTTCACTTCCTGGCTCTCTGGATCTGCCTCCTCTGGGGCTGAAAACCAGACTTGACCAGCTGCAGCTCTCTTAGCACTGAGCTCCAGTGGGAAGGACAACTCTTATTACCCCAGGTGGCAGATGGGGAAACTGAGTCTCAGGAAGGCAGTGGTTAACCCTGATGATTAGAGCAGCGGTCCTTCCCTGGATCCAGGCCAGGCCTGCCCTCCATCCCATCCCACCCGGGGGCGGGCCCATGCTGCAGACCCTGGACGCCTGCTGGGAGACCCGGCAGGCTGCTTCACTCAGTTTTCCCACCAGCAAAATGCAGCTCCTTGGATCACTGGGAGGACAGAAGGGGACAAGGAGATGCAAGCAGACAACTCACACAGAAGAAAACACCATAAGTGTCCACTAAACGAGGAAAACATCCCAGCTCACTCGGATCAGTGGAATGCAGACAAACGAGAGCGCCTTCCTCCCCGGCCCGGGGCGAGTGACAGCGGCAGCGGCAGCGCCGCTCACAACAGCAGCTACAGTACAGACCCCGCACTTCCATGTCCAACTGCTGGGGAAGGTCTCAGGCCACGTCCAGAGACGGGCAATGGCTCCCTCTGCTGGTGGCACCGCTGCAGGTCCCATTTTAATTTGACTATTTCAGCCGTCTTGAAGTGTGCGGTTAGCAGCATTAAGAGCACTCACACTGCACAGCACCCGCACGACCCACCTCCAGAGCCTGCCTTTCTCCCTCTCGGTAGCTGGACTTTCCAAGGGGAGGGGCTGGTCACACACCGTTACTCTTGTTTGAACTGTCAAAGATCCCACGTGAACCTTCAGCCCAGCATGCAGCCTGCCTTTCCCGCCACCTGCCAGCCCCAGTGGGGAGCCCTTAGTCCTTTGGGACAGCCAGACACGCACAGACAGCATGGACCCCCCAGGGCAACAGGAAACCATGGCCGATGGGGCAGCATGTGCTCTAGAACTTCACAAACAGTCACATTCTTGACAGCTCAGCCAGTGTGGCCGCAAGAAAGGCGCATCCTCAGAACTGAAAAAAGACTGGAAATGTCCTCATCTGCAGGTGGCACACACAGGGCGCCAGTTTTTCCCTCCCATAATGTCCGGTATTTTCAAGGTTTTCTTTAAAAGGAGGGATTGCAAGACTCTGGAAGCTCATCCTGAGGCCTCCCTCCCCCAGCATGACTGATCTGGCCTCTCCCAGCAGGAACCTCGAGTGGCCAGAGCAGCCATTATCCCCAGAATGACCCAACCTAACCTGCCAGGCCTTGTCCAATGTCCAAATGTTCCACCTGACCGAGCCCCACTCCTATCAGCCACAGAGGGCAGGGCTGCCCCATCTTTACCCTATAGGAGCCAGTGCCCAAAGCTTGGGGCAGGTGTCACAATGCTGGGTCTGGGGTGTTGTCGCACAGCTTTGTCTGGTCTCAAGTCCTCCAGCCCCCAACTCGATGCACTGGACACCCCCTCCCCAGGGCACCTCCGCAGGGGGCGAAGCTGAGGTCGCCTGAGACTCAAATGGCCCAGGGACAGGGTGAGTGCCCAGCCGGCATTCCAGAGGCACTGCTGACCGCTGCCAGATGGGTGACAGGGGCCAGCTTTGCATGGCAAGTCAGGCGGCCCTGTCACCAGGCCTGGAGGCCAAACCCAGACTGTGTCCTTTCTGTATGCTGGCAGGCGCAGCCAGCTCCACAAGCTGGGGGACATCCCCACCCTGTCCGGATCTTCCAGGAGCCGTCCACTTAACATTGGATGAGTGGCCTGGAACTGAGCCTCCTTCTGGCCAGCCTCCTTGGACCACCTGAGCTCGGCCCCAGGACACCTGGGTTGCTCCCAAGCTTAGGCTCTGGGTTAGACAGACGGGGATTTGGATCCTGGCTCCTGCTTTCCAGCTATGACCTTGGGCAATGCGCTTGACCTCCCTAAGCTTCCATTTCCACCTGCCAAATGGAAAGGATACGTGTATGGGGTTACACTCAATGAGGCTGGGACGCCCCGTGGCACCCTCCAGGCACAGGGGACCTCCATCAAAAGTGGCTGTGATGAAAAGAACCCAAAGTAAACCAAAGCGAAAGGCCCCTTGACGTGCCAGTCTCCATCCCACCAGCACACACACAGGCTGCTGTCCTCATGAAATGTCACTCATTGACCTTTGCCCTTGGTTCTTGGGAGACTTGGGCAGCTCTTTGGGCTGAAACTTGCCAGTCCTCAGCCAGACCCCATCGGCCAGGCCTGGGCTTTACCGGGAGAGGGGCTGGGTGGGCTCCTTCTGGGCAGCCCTGCTGGCAAAGGGCAGGCACAGAGAGCCATCGATGGTGCAGGGGGCGACTGCCCAGTGACACCACCTGGCAGAGCAGGGGGTTTTCTGACAAGTATCATCCAAGCTGGAACACAAGGTGGGGGTGGGAGCTTGCTGGGGTGGGGGTGATTTCCAGCCCATGCAAACACCCAGAGGCATCAACAGGGGATGTGCAGGGGTGGGGCAAACGCCAGGCGCGTGGAGAACAAGGGACTGGAAGGAGGTGGGGCTGGGGAGTGACCTGCTCCAGCTCCAGGGAAACCCTGCCCTCCCCATGCCCCCCATTAACAAACAGGACTCTCCAGGGCTCGGGGGGCTCTAATTTCTGGACTTTCAGAGAAACATCTGATGGAGAGAAAGTCTGTCCTTCGCTGCCCCCCAGTTCTAACGCCCTAGGCAAAACAAGGGCAGACTTTCCTGTGGGTCCAGGGCCCAGGCCAACACCTCAGGTGATTGGGGCTCCCAGACCCCACTGTGTCCCCATCCATGCCTGTCAGAGGACCCAGGACCATGCAGCAACTGGCAATGCTGGCTAAGAGGCTGAGTCCTTCCAGGTTCAGACCTTGACTGACATCAACAAGTCCTAGGGCCTCTGTGGCCACGACACC